AAAAAGAAGATAAATATAGATGAAGTAGAATTAAAATAGAATAGACAGTGTTAGAGTTAGAGGGTCAAATAAAGGTGGAACAGATGTGTTTTAGTCGCTTCTTGAAGATAGCTAAGGACTCAGCTGCTCGGATTGAGTTGGGCGGGTCATTCCACCAGGAGGGAACAGTTAATGAAAAAGTCCGGGAAAGTGATTTTGTGCCTCTTTGAGATGGCACAATAATACGCCGTTCACTTCCAGAACGCAAGCTTCTAGAAGGCACATAACTCTGAATTAATGAATTTAGGTAAATGGGTGCAGAGCCAGTGGTGGTTTTGTAGGCAAACATTAATGCCTTGAATTTAATGCGAGCAGCTACTGGTAGCCAGTGCAAATTGATGAACAGAGGTGTGACATGCATTCTTTTCGGCTCATTAAAGATTAATCTTGTAGCGGCATTTTGTATTAATTGTAGAGGTTTGATAGATTCACCAATGAATAAATTATTAACAGCATAAGCATATTTATTCATATTATTAAAAAAAAAAATAAAGCTTTTAGACTGATTGTAGTGGGATATTGTAGTTTTATGGTGCGTTCACCTAATGTCACAATTACTGTAATTAATCATGTATAATATGCTACATATATATACTACTATTCAAAAGTTTGGGATCAATATTATTTTTAAAGTTTTTGAAGGACTTTCTTTTGCTCATCAAGGCTGCATTTATTTGATCAAAAATACAGAAAAAACAGTAATATTGTAAAATAGTATTGCAATTTAAAATAACGGTTTACTATTTTATATAATTTATTCTTGTGATGCAAAGCTGAATTTTCAGCATCATTACTCCAGTCTTCAGTGTCACATGATCCTTCAGAAATCATTCTAATATGCTGATTTATTATTAGTGTTGTGCTGCAAGTTGAGCTGCTTATCTTTTTTTTTTTTTTTGGAACCTGTGATACTTTTTTTTCAGGATTCTTTGATTAATAAAAAGTTTAAAAGAGCAGAATTTATTCAAAATAATTTTTTTTCTAACAATGTACGTCTTTACTATCACCTTTTTATCAATTTAACACATCCTTGCTGAATAAAAGAAAAAAAAGAAAAGAAAAAAATGTACTGACCCCAAATTTTTGAACGATAGAGTATATTGTTTTAATTATGCTAAAGGAAATTATGGAAAAAAACATGATGCAGTAAATAAAAACTTTGTAGTCATAGATTATAATATTGTATTTATATTTATTATACATGTTTTAATATTTTTCTAAATATTTTTAGTCAATCGATCAATATCACAATCATATATAGTACATATATATATAATCTCTATACATCTATATTTAAAATATTATGTAAAAATATGCATAAGGTAATTATGAAAAAGGAAACTACAAATTATAATAGTAATAACCAATACATATTTGTATATATTTTCATATTTTGCAATAAACTATATTATCTATTGTCAATGGAGAAAATCAATGGAATTTTTATTTCTGGAACCCCAATTCTGTCCTTTATTACAAAGTAACTCCCACATGTGATCGCACCATTAGTTCCGCAGCTGACTTATTGGCTTTCTCTTGTTGGCATTGCAATAGGAGCAGAATGAGGATTGCGGTGGGGCGTCGAGTCTGAGTCCATCTATCGTGTCCATGGTCATCCTCCAGCTGCCGCTGCTCTGGCTTCTGATTGGACGAGGACACTGCCTCTCGTGACCTCAGCATAGAGACGCCGCACCCCTCTTCGATGCCAAAACTTACATTTAAACGTTCATCTGGACTCCCACGCTACAGCCCAGCACACGGAGGGAGAGGCTCTGACCCAGGAAGTACAAAACCCAAGCCGCGATCACTCACAGCCTTTGAGGTCAAAGTAGGTCGGAGATGATAAATGAGCAACGACCTTTGACATTTGACCCGTGAGGTCAGACTCTCTCCACATGAGCGACAGGGTGGGCAGACCTTGACACTTCATCGTCACTTCGCTATGAAGAAATGTCCTTTCTTTAAAACGAAAAAAAATTATCCAATCACAACACTGCCAACCAAAATTTCGCCCTTTACTGGTGTGATGCCTTTTTTAACCTAAATATGTCCTTCAACATATTTACACGGCTAATTCCTCAGTATTACAAACTGTTCGTGTGTGACTTTTATGGTTTGCCCTGCTGAGATCTTTAATGGACCCCTCCGGGTTGGGTCAAAATCCAGCCTTATTTGTGGTCTGCAGCCCATTACTGGGCCCGATGCAAAAGTCTCTTGTTTTTCCCAGTGGTCTCCACCTCTGTGCCTCGGGAATATCGGTTTCATTTCAGACCGCCGTTTTATAGTAAACAATCCCTCCCTCCATTTGTCAGTGGGTACCTGTATTCGCTATTTTTTATCGGCCCATAGTGCATTTCAAATGCGCACTGCTGCCAAACGTTACCCTGTGTGTGGTCTTGCTGTACTTTGCCCTTAATGCCAAGCAGGTCGTGTGGCCAAACAGCCCTTTGGTTCTTATTTAGGGCTTTTTAAATGACTGCCGATTCGTACCGACCTAAAAGCTCGCAAAGTTATGCGTCCTGGCTGTGAATATGGCGAGAAATCCCTGCTGTTGCATGTGTGTGTGTGTGTGTGTGTTTTTTGTTTTTTGTTTTTCGGTGTATTAGCTGTTTATTTGAGATTAAGTTATTGAAAATGAGCTAAGAGTTTTCTGCTGTATGTTTAATGTTGAGTTTTATGTGCTATGCAGATGCTAAAGGGTGAAAGGCATTTATGACATAGTTGCTCTTTCCCACACTTTAATTTCATCTGGAGAACTCGAAAAGGTGGAAAGAAAATGATCTAATGTTTACAGATATTTTGAGACACTCGAGAGAGTTTTTATAAGAAATGTTGCCCCTGGTTGTGTTGTCTGAGTCTCTGATGTGTCATTTTTCACTTTAATGTCAGAGGCAGAGCTCTGTCAGCCTTTCTTTCCTGTCAACGTGCCTTGATGTGAATGGATTCATAAAAAAAATGTCAATGTGCAATCTGACCCAGAGAAATGCTAAATATCGGCATTCTGATCTGATGAAAAATTCAACTTCCGTCCCTTTAAGAGGTCCTGACTGGATCTTTGTGCCTCATTGAAATCTTGGCCAAAATCCAAAATTTATGGAATAATTAAGATTTTGAGAAGAGACAAGGATAATTACAGAAGCCCTGGACTGCTCACAAATTGAACGTTATAAAAATATTTTTCAGCATTTTATTTGTTTAATATTGATAATAATAATAATAATATATTTTAATAATTTATGTATAGTTTATTTATTAATTGTAGTATTATTGTTATTGTTATTATTATTTGTTTTATTAAATAAAATAAAAATATGAAAAATGTTTTTTAAAAAGTAGGTAGAAAATTATGGAGAAAAAAATATTTTTTAGAAAAAGGAGAAGAAAAAAGAAGGGGGGAAAGTCTGCATTCTGTATATCTACATTTTTGCCCAGTTTCTTACAAACAGCCAAATCTTGTGGTTCAGAGCTTCTGTAAATAATAAACATAGTTATTAAAAGGAGTGGGGGGGGATGACTTCAATTACAAATGATTACTTGGTACATGAATGTTATGCCTGTAAAAAAAACAAAGCTATATATTTTTTTTTTTTAAGTATTCAGTTCAAAGTTATTTTTGTTTTGAAGAGAAGGAGGGATGTCTAATGCTTAGCCAGTACCCAATATATTCAATATTGTATTGATTATGAATTATGATGATTAATTAATAGCAAACAGATGATTTCTGCAAGTTATTACTGGCCGCTGAACCTTATTTGCATTGTTTTTGGCTTAGTGTATATGTACAAAGTCATTTGGGTCTCTGTCAGCACTGATTACCATCGTGTTCTTTCTAATTTTAGAAGCATAGACAAACAGGAAATTAAAAGACATGAAGACACACAACATCACTGCTACTTTATGCATCATTTCCTCTGTACACAGGAAACGGTTTTGGTAATGCACCTGAAAACAACATGATTGGACTTCGTGGATTTGGCTTGCGTTGAAAAGCCATTCTTCTGAAAATCTTTCCATGATTCATCACCGTAATCAGACAAGCATTCTAGAAGTGACGTGCATTAAATCAGTGTATGATAAAAAGAAAATGCCATAAACATCGTAGTTAATTGGCTGTCAAAATGAGAAATTATTGAAAACATCTCCAGTTCCAGACCGTTAACTCGACGAATTACCCACGTTAATTCCCAGCAAAACTAATGTCATCTTGTTTATCTATACTAAGTATAAAGTACATGTTTTTCACTTCCTCTACCTGTACTTTAAAGTGCTATCTCAAAATGTTTTTCCAGCCTAACACACAAAATCTGCCTGTGAGGGTATTCAAACCTTTAACATAATCTTATCTCTTCCTAATGCCCTATTTAGTTGGCATGTGTTGCACTGGAAGTGAAAACTAAGCTGTGTGTGCGATGCTACAATATTTGCCTCTGTAGATGCTGGAGTGTGTATAGTAACAGATTACGGCTCTGTTCAGAATAGCATACTAGCATACTACTTCTACATTCGCAGTATGTAGTATGTATACTATGGACAGTATGCACATTTTCAATATGCAAATACAAAATTCCCAGATGACCTTTTTTTTTTTTGCTAAAATATGCAGTATTCGACAGCAAACTGCATGGAATACTGTATCCCACAATGCAATGCACCCTTCGGTTTTTAGTAAACTGACTGCAAAAATTGACATATTTATACAAATTAGTATAAGTTGTTTCCCATCTGATGATGTCACAATGTAGCATTCTACTGTTTGGAATGTTTAGTGTGGAATAATGTCTACTATTTTTTTTTTTTAAAGAGACAGAACATACTGCGCAGTATTCAGTATATACTGTAGTATGCTAATATTCCATTCTGGATGCAGCCTAAAGGTCTTTGCACACTGAGTCTGAAATTTTCGCATGTTAAAAAAAAAATACGACCTCACGTGTCAATCACATCTACATACTGCCTCCGAAATGTTCGTCCGTCATAGAAAAAATCTGGATCGGGGTCGATTTTCTGCGTTTTTCGCATCTGTAGCAAGCTTTTTGACTCAGTGTGTAAGGTTTCTGTTCGTGACGATGATAAATATGGAAAACGCATACGTAAATTTAGAACTCAGACCTTAAAGGTGCAAAGACCATAAAGGTGCAATCACATTTAGCAAAATTTCACGGGAAAAATCCAGTTATTTCAGTAGGAATCTGTGCGATCTTGAGCCTCGCATGAGGACGGATGCAGATTTTGCGAATTTTTGCTGGCTTTGAAAGTGAGCTGTGCTTCATACGTCGTTACACTACTGACAAAGGACTTTTTTGCGAAATCTCGCTGAAATTTCGTTAATGTGACCTCGCCTTAACATTCACTGCTTTTTTCTTGGGCGACAGCTGCTGAACCGAGACGTGTCCCGATCCTGACGGTCCAAGCTAACCTTAACCTTAAATGTCAAAACTGATTTGGGACCAGTATTTGAAAGCATTAAGGGTCTCCAGCTTCTGACAGAAATAGTTTACAGGATACCTTAATAGAGGTGAAAGTGTTTTCTAGAATATCAAAAAGACAGATGTTTAGGGGAAATATGAGATCAATTCATATTATTCCTTAGAAAATACTGAATTAGATTTAGCAACTTAGTCCTTCAGACAAACTGGGATGAAGAAAGGCTTTCGTTTAACTTCCTGTAGACTGAGCTCAGATGCTGTCACCTCAGGAACAGAAAATGGCAAAGTGTGATTTAAAAAGCTGCCGTTTCGGTTCTCTGTCTCTCTGGTCTGTGTGGGTTTTGATCTCTGGAATTGTCCGATAGTGTGAAGTGTGTTTTAAGTGGTCAGTCAGATCCTGCTGCCTCCACTTGTCTCCTGGTTGACCGTTAGTCTGCCTCAGTCAGGGTTTAGGAGGACTTATCCCTAGGCTTATTTTCAGCCCCCCTTAATTGTACTGTCATCCAGTGGTTCACATCTGGTTTTGCTTCAGGAACCAGATTTTAAGTGGTGACCCAAACAATACCAAACGTAACCGGCATTTAATGTAGTCTGGGTTGTATTTTTTCTTATTTTTTTTACCATGCATAGTTTTGTTCATGATTTTTGAACAATTTCAAATAGCCGTGTTGTCATCGGCCTAATTTGGTTAAATCGCTTCTAGTAAAATGACAAATTAAATTAGGCCAGGGTTTTTGACGTCAACTAAAAAAGATATAGGAAGCATTTACTCCTTCCTTTAAAAAGCTGATATTTAAACGTGCAGTCTCCTAATGTGTCATACTGTATTTTTTTAATAATTGTAAAAAAAAAAATGTAACTAGACATTTTTGGAAGTTTTTTATGTTTTTTTGGATGAATGATTAACACAACAGGTATACAACAGTACAACCAACTGTATGTTCATCCCTCACAGCATTGTTTTCCTTCACATAAAATTAAATATGGCATTGACTTTAAGGTCCATGCAAGATAATATGCTTATTAGCATTTTATTATTTGCGTTTAGCAGTTTTTTCTGCAGTCTGTAACCCTCAGAGCAGACCTTTGGTCCACCAGTTGAGAACCACTGATTTACGCATAAAACTCTTGTGAATCTTGATAATCCTGATTCAGACAGTCTGTATGTTTGTTTAAAAAAATAATTAAAAAAGTAAAAGTAACTATCTAAGGCAGAAATGATAAAAAGCCCACTGTGTATAATCCTGGAACTGTCTAAAATTCATGTTCAAGTATATTGAGAATAAAAACTTTATCATCAGTGTGAGTGTTGCTGTGTCCTTTGCCTTGACTGTTTTGACCGTGACAGATTTCTGTTTTTCTTCTTTTCCAAAATCACTTCTACTTGTATTTGTCCTGGTGCCAAAACATTTTTCCCCATGTATGTCAGAGGGAAGTTGGAGTCTGCAGTTTCTCTGCTCTCATGTGACATTCTTCTGTCATCAGCGAGGACTCGGACCGAGCCAACCACAACACGGCCCGCGAATCGCTCAAAGCCATCGATATTTTCACACAATGTTATCTGACTGCCATCGCTTTTCTATTGCTCCATCGCCATATGCGCTCGCTCGCCTCTGATTTGACACTGAAGGCCTCGGTACCGTTTCACCTTGAGTTTGAATGTGAAACCAGCAGCATGCAGATATATAGGGTCGTTCCTACGTTTATTGGCGATATTAAATGTTCTTCTTCTGTGATGTGTGATATACTACGAGACCGTTAAAGCTCACGTATGGTACTTCAGTGCTCCGGGACATTTCAAATAAGTTCATTTACAGTCCCCACAGCGTTTTTGTTTAACGAACGGCCCGTTTATATTTGCGAAACAGCTGGGGGAAGCCTTAAAAGGACACGTATGATATAAAATTACATATTTTACAGACTGGAGGGAGGAAATAAGCTGTAATATTAACGGCTGAGGCATTATTAAAGCTGTCAGTCTCCTAATGCCACCTGCTTAAAGGGAGAAATTTAAAATATTTTGTGGACTGTAGAGCAGTATGTGCGTTGGAATCGGTGTGAAAAGTGCAGTGGGTACTTAGTGTCTGCGAGCAGGTGTGAGACGGAGGAGATCAAAATTGTTGTCAAGTCCTCAGCAGTCTTGGCACAACATTTTGCCTCTCATAAGTTACTTGCAACTAGTGCTGTCAAACGATTAATCGCATCCAAAATAAAAGTTTGTGTTTAAATAATATCAGTGTTTGTACTGTGTATATAAATACACAGACATGCATGTATATATTTAAGAACAATGTTATGTTTATATATTAAATATATTTATATATAATATAAATTATATGAATATAAATGCATAAACATTTAAATACTTTCAAAATATATACTGTATGTGTGTGTATTTATATATACATAAGAAATATACACAGTACACACGTATATTATGTAAACAAAAACTTTTATTTTGGATGCGATTAATCGTTTGACAGCACTGCTTGCGACACAAACAACTCATGTGATTTATGTCAGTAATATATATTTGTCTCATGAGATGCCATAGAATGGGTCGATACAAGAGACAGAGGTGCCAGATGTGGAGATTGATTTCAAAATCAATATGAAATCACTATTGGCCTTATTTACTTGCTTGATACACATTTGTGCGTTATTGTGAATGATTCACCAGTGTATGATTTTTTAACAATTGCTTGTTTTTGTTGATCAGTAGCTAATTGGCAATAATTGTTTTAGGCTACTGCTGCCTTTCTAAAAGTTTACCAAGAGTGAGCAAAGCAGTTTAATGCCAGCTTTTATTCCATGTTTAATTGAATTTATAAACGTAGTGTTTTATGCGTGAATTCATAAATTAAATATTAATTTGCTCTCTGCATTGGCAAAATCGTGGATTGAAATATGTGATTTTCAGTGTCCCATTTATCGGGCCAGTTGTAAATGCAATGTGCATTTCCATTGGGATTCTTCAGAAATGCTCTCAACATGTAATTTAATTTAATTTAAAAATAATGAAATATTTTATTTAATTTATAAATTAAATCACAAATTAAATTGTACTGCCTGACATTAGCTAAATCATGAATAGAAATATTAGAGCTGCTTTATATTTATATAGGCTTTTATATATTTTATGTGGCCTATTGTAAATGCAATGTGCATTTGCATTGCCTCAAAGATACTCTCGAGATTTTATTTAACTGAATTTAATTGGAATAAATCAGTCCTCGCTCTCGCGCTTGCAACTAGTACAGAACGCCGCGGCTCGTTTTTTTAACAGGGACAAAAAAGAGAGAACATATCACACCTGTGTTAGCGTCACTTCATTGGTTACCTGTTCAATTCAGAGTTGATTTTAAGGTTTTAGTATTTGTATTTAAATCACTTCATGGTCTTGCCCCTACTTATATTTCAGATCTTCTCCATTCCTACTCTCCTGAGAGAACACTTAGATCTTCCACCCAGATGTTATTAAATGTTCCAAAATCTCGACTTAAATCCAAAGGTGACAGGGCTTTCTCAGTTCTTGGTCCAAAGCTCTGGAATTCCCTACCATTGTCTATTAGACTATCCCCTACTCTATCCACATTTAAATCTTCTCTTAAAACATTTTTTTTTTCTCAGGCATATGCTTAATTTGATAATATTTTAGCTTTAATTTTGTTTTATTTTGCATGGTAATGTTTTGTTTTGTTTTAACTTTATTAATTTTTGTTCTGTTTTCTTTTGATTTATTTTATTAGTATTTAAATTGTATTGTATGAGGATGTTTTTGTCTCGTATGTCATGCAGCACTTTGGTCAGCATTTATGTTGTTTTAAAGGGCTATGTAAATAAACTTGACCTTGACTTGACCTTGACCTTAATTAAATAATTTAATTTAATAATGCAATATTTATTTACTTCAATTCTTTAAAATCAAATTATATATTTAATTTATAAAATTTTACATTTATTTAATTAAATAATTAGTTTAACTTATAAATTAAATGATTTGTCTTTAAATGTAACATTCTTAATTTGTTGTCTAGCAGTAGCAAAATCATCAATGGAAACAGGAGAATGGATTTATATGTGATTTGCAGAGTCACATTTATGTGGCCAGTTGTAAATGTAATGTGCATATTCAATCATATAACAGTCTGTTTGATCATGACGCAAGAAGAGTAAATGCGATCGCAGAGTAAACGTCCTTGTATCGTTCCTACATTTTTTTATTTCGTTTTTTTTTTTATGACAGGGCCTGTGTGGATCTGTTGTTGTTAAAAGCTGCTTTGAATAATTGAGTTAGTCGTTCACTTTTTTTTTCTCTCCAAAATTCTTCGACATTCTTAGATTCTACAAGGCCTTATTTCACAATGAGCTCTAGACGTGGTGGCTCTCGAATGGAACGTGTCCTTATGTTTTTCCTCCCTTGTCACCACATCGACCCTGAACCCATAAACAAAAGTGGACAGTGCACAGTAAAAACTAAACATGCTCACTGTGCACATATTTCAACTGGACATAATTCACAAGTGCCATCCACAGCCACGTTCTATCTCCTTCCAGGGATTTTGACAACAACATGGTTTAGTTGTTTGTATTAAAACAGCATGTTTCCTCTCTAAACATTCTAGATGTTGCACATTCGATGTGCATTTTTTTTTTTTTAATAAGGCTGCATTACAGAGTTCAAAACATCTTAGTGGTTGCAGCCAAATCAGACTGACTAGCATGCAAGAACACCATGTCTGATTGTGGCGCTTTGCTCCAGCAGAGATATTAGCCTAAAGTGTCTTTTCTCAAGGTTGATGTTGGACTGCTGGTATTTGTGGGGTCTAAAAAGTAGCAAAGGACCAAACCTCAAGATTCAGATGAGGGTGTCTCATTCTTGCAAGCGGTATTTCTAGGTTTGCGGTTGAATTTCGTTGGGGTTAAATCTTGATTGCTAACAATTATATTTGAATAAACTCTGCTGTTTGTATGTTGATCGCTTCTGGTTATTAGATGGGAGGCCACTTTATTTCCATTATAAAGGCTCACTGATGCTTTATGGAATGACAGTGGTTGCTATTTTGCCAGAACGCCTCCAGACAGATTCCGGATATCCAAGAAAACAGCTGTCTGTTTCACAGCATGTTTAAAGAAGTTTCAGCCCTGCTTATCACACGAGTTAGTGTCTACTTTGTGTTAATAGTATATATCATTATTTTTACTCTGCAAAATGTAACAATCTAGTTGAATTGAATCTGAGAGGTAAAGTTTACTCCTGTCCTTATTGTAACTCTAACCCTAAACCATTCTAAAATAAAATTGTCTGAGCTTAAATCCATTGTTATGTAATTTATAGTAAAGAAGAAAATAAGTAGTAGTTTGCTTGTAAATTCATGTGTGTTACGGGGCTGACAAGACGTGAGACGTGCGGATCCATGTGCAAGCTTTTATTTTAAAGCAGAAGAGGTCAGAAACACAGGCAGGGTCGAACAATGGCAAACAGGTATATGGCGGGCAAGACACAAGAATAATCCTAGGGCTAGCGTAGGTCAACGATCGGCGAACAGAATCAAAAGGGCGAGGCTAGAGGGATAAATCCAGGAAAACAGGCAAAGATCAGAAACCAATAAAACAGACAGGGCAAGACTAGGCTAGGACTGGGAAACTAACGAGGGCTCTGTAAAGTAGCTATCACTGCTGGCGATAAGCGCATACAATACTCGGCAGTTTGATAGGAGTCAGATTGAGTGATATATAGTGAATGTGTGATTGGATACAGCTGTGTGCAATCAGTGCTGTGTGCAATCAGTACAATGGATGATGGGATATGTAGTCCGGGATGATGCAACAGTTTGTGTAGTGCGAGAGTCAATGTAATGGAAAGGGTGACCTCTGATGGCAAGCAGACGGAAGTTCATGGACCGGATTCGTGACAATGTGCATAATCAATGCATATTTATATTCTTTCAGGTTTCTTCCATCATTTTGAAAATATGCCAAGTACCAAAGAAATATAAACAATAAATAAATAAATATCAGGTTGCTAATTGCAGAAGGTGTTGTGGTAATGAGAGAAAATAGTTAAAATCAAATAAAAATGCTCATTTAAAGGGATAGTTCACCCAAAAATGAAAATTCTGTCTTTAATTACTCACCCTCATTTCGTTCTAAATGCGTAAGACCTTCGTTCATCTTCGGAACACAAATTAAGATATTTTTGATGAAATCTGAGAGCTTTCTGACCCTCCATAGAGAGCAACAGAACTATCACGTTCAAGGCCCAGAAAGGTATAAGGACATTGTTAAAATAGTCCATGTGACATCAGTGGTTCAACCTTAATTTTACGAAGCTACAAGAATACTTTTTGTGCGCAAAGAAAACAAAAATAATGACTTGATTAAACCATTTTTTCTCTTCTATGTCAGGTTTCGACGTGCGTTCATGAGTGTCATGGTACTGTCATGACACGGAAGAGAATAAATTGTTGAATAAATTTTGTTTTCTTTTGTATTTTTGTGATTTTTGACGAGCACCGAAGACTGACAGGGAAGAGAAGAAATTCGAGAAAAAAATTAAGTCGTTATTTTTGTTTTCTTTGCACACAAAAAGTATTCTCGTAGCTTCATAATACTGCACTTGATACATTGATGTCACATGGACTATTTTATCGAAATCCTTACTTTCTGGGCCTTGAACGCGGTAGCTGCTTTGCTGTCTATGAAGGGTCAGAAAGCTCTCGGATTTAATCAAAAATATCTTAATTTGTGTTCCGAAGATGAACGAAGGTCTTACGGGTTTGGAACGACATGAGGGTGAGTCATTGACAGAATTTGAATTTTTAGGTGAACTATCCCTTTAAGAATATCTATTATTTTAGATTTTTGAGTAACTGTGCATGACTGTTAATAGTCAGTTTTTAAAAATGTAAAATTGTATTAGCTTTCCTTGTGGTATTGACATTTTCAGACTGTTGAGGAAACATATTTGTTAATGTTAAATAGATGCCCATAGATGTTAAATTGTCAGTGGATGTTTTTAAATTAATGCTCATAATCACTAACTTTGTTGTTAATTTGTTCACGGAAGTCTTTGTAAACATTTAATGTTTGCAATGTTTGAAACCAAGCTTTCGTGAGAATCACCCATGAGTTGGCTAGTACATACGCACAGCAGAGGATGTAGAGGAACTTCCAGGTGCTGTAAACAATTTCTCTGTTCTGTAGTCATTTCTGGAGAGAAACCACTACAATCAGGAATGTTTAGATGCCAAGTCTTTCTTCTGGGTGGGTCACTGGAAATAAAAGGATTGTTTTTTAGATATTTTTCTTATTCATGCCCACTCCCCCTACACACATGCGTGGTCCATACCAGCAGCTGTAAACTCCACAGACCCCCTGAACTGTGTAACTGTGAGTCACCTGCGACTCATTTGAGACACGCGTTCTGAAAGCGGGAGTCTGGTAGCGCTCTTGCTTTTCATGTCCTTTCATGTCCAGCTGTCTGTTGTGAAAGTGATTTGGCCGCCGCACGCAGCACAGCCAAACACAATAACTTCTCACAGATGTGTGTAATGTCCGGCTGAACCCCACCACAAAGCCAAAGGGAGGGAAAGAGAGGGGAAGCAAAGTTTTCAACCATCACTGAAACTACAGATGCTGTAGGCTATGTTACATATAAAGGCTGTCTCAAAACTTTGTGCATTGGCTCAATAATTGCTAATGGCTAATTAGGAAGCAATCTCAATAAACATCACCTTAAACTTAACCTCACCAATGAATTAGCCACCAACTGAACAAAACATAAAATTGTTACCATAAGATTGGTCCTCCCAGGTTGTGACATTGGCATGTAGCTAAGCTAACAATTTGTTAAGCACATTATTGGCTGAAATAATACACGTGTCAATTCCACCAATTAGTTTAAAAATGTTGTATTAATTTTCAGTTCATAATCATTTGCCTGAGCTCTGTCTGTCACCTTGCTAATGCTAATATATGCTAACACCCTGGTAATGAAGAATTATAATGTATCATACTTTACTCTGCATTACCTTTACGAAAATTAACCATGCTTTTATTGTAGTAAAAGAGTAGTAACTATGGTTTTTTTGCCATATTGATTATAATTTGTATAACCACAGTTTTACTACAAATACCATGGTTAAACTATGGTTGGTGTAGCATAACAATGGTTAATTTGTGGTTACCACGGTTTAACTATAGTAAGTAACCATGGTTTGTTGGCATAATTTGTAGTAAAACGATGGTTAATTTCCGTAAGGATATATTTTGAATACTACGATACATCAATGATACATGTCTAAAAGATCATAGGCTGAAATCACAACAGAAAAACTCTTTTTGCTGATGCATTTTGCTCAAATTTTGACAACATTTTTTTATCAGAAAGTAGTGTTGTCCTCACAGTTTCTGACACTAACATGTAGCTAAGCTAACAATTTCATAAGTGCAGTAGGCCTATTACTTGAAATAATACATTAAAGGTGCACTGCAGGATTTTTTAAAAACACTTTTGACCACAGCGTCGGACCGAGTCCCAAGACACACTTTCAGCCAATCAGTAGTAAGGGGGCGTGTAATGATAAAGAGAAGGGAGCGCTCAATTTGAGTGCACAGGATGGATATTAGCAGATCGACTATAGAAAGATAGAGATGGCTGATAAAAATAGGAAAATATCAGAGAAACGAAACATTAAAAAGAAGGGTTACGATCAGGCAAGAGGTAGGACCCGCGTAAATATCGGAGCAGCTTTCCAGCGGTGGAGAGAACTCAAGGAGCGGGAAGGCCTGGAATCGGACACCGAGGTTGCGTTGTTTCTTCTTGATAGGTGAGTAACCTTGATTTTGATTCGTTTCACACAACTTATCCATGTTGGCTTTTGTTTGAATATGCTTGTGTCATCTTCACATGTTTCCGTGATCGTTGTTGCCATGGTTGTGTACGTACGTGTGGGGCGGAGATTTCAAAATAAGGGTGGGGTCCTGTTGGGGTATGGGCGTGTTTGTTTTGGTGCTTTCAAATATCAACATCGTTTGGCAAAAATCGCTTGGTGCACCTTTAATGTATCAGTTTAAACAGTTAGTTTTAGTAATTCATATTAATTTTAAGAACTCAATCAAATCTATTCATAATCAGAATTTCCTAGACTCTATCCACCACCACCTTGTCAATGCTAATATATGCTAATAATACTATGGTAATGAAAGATTTTTATATTCATATACTTTATGGTATTAAGACATTGTACTTACATATGGAACTTCAATGATATATGTCTAAAAAACATGGCCTAAATTCGAAGTAGCATGCTAGCATGCTAATCTTAACTATTTCTGCTAACAGTTTTCTATTGGTCATTGTGGCAAATTTGCATGACTAGCTGAAGAAACCAGATGTTTTTTAGCAGGTATGAGCTGTAATGGCGCAGCTCTATTCTGGAAAAGGGGGCGGGGAGCAGCAGCTCATTTGCTCATACTCTAATACAACGTGTTTCTGCATCCACTCAAAATAGGCATTTTCAAAATGATATAATAAATGGTCTGTGGGCCATTTTGAGCTAAAACCTCACAGTTACATTCTGGGGACCCCTGAGACTTATATTACATATTGTAAAAAGGGGCATAATATGTCACCTTTAAGTTTAGGTATTGGCTATATAGGTATTGCTCAAATTTCCACCAAAGAGTGGTCTCTCAGAAGGTAGTATGTGTGTGTATGCAGCTCTTCTGTTGGGACCTGCAGGTGTGGGATGGAGTCTGTGCAGAATCAGCATTTCTGAACACAAACTCTTGACTCACAGTAACACAATGTGTTTTGTAGCAGGAAGCAGTGATTGTGATAATGATCTTGTGACATGATAGGGTTATTAAAAGTGTCTGCACAATGTGAGATGCCAGGCGGCTGCTTGAGTGTTTAATCTCTCCATGCTTTATGTTTCAGCTGAGGAGTCACTCTGCCCCGGGGATGGTTTATTTCTGCACACAGATGCTCTTTTATCCTCTTTCAAGTTCTGCATCTCAGTGGCATCTTCTCTTGCTGTTCCAGCGACTGGATTCAGTGTGTGTGGCAGATGAAGCGCCGGTGTGTTTTCTGTATGTGCTTTTTGGCATCACTCTGGTCTTTGCCCACACTGGATTTAGCTGACCCAATGCTACCCCAAAAAAAGTCACTTGGGCCTTTTGTGCACTTAGGATTCCAGACAGACCTGGACTGATAAAGTCACAACAGAAGGAGGCAGATGTCTGGAATCAGTTTCCTCATTTGGATGCCAACTTCTCTTGTCGAAAGAGCAGCCCAGAAACATGGTTTATCACTGCAGAAGGTTCTCTAACACTGACCTAGTCCTGCAAGACTTCTCCTCCAGACTTTAAATGGCCATTTTCCATTTGCTACAGTTTATTTCCCAAAGCATTAAGGGAGAGGAACATCTGTTGGTCTTCATCATCCATCCAAGTTCCCATCCCAACAAAAGTGCAGGTATGCAGCGTAGAAAAAGAGGTTCTTTGGAGCTCAGATTTTACTTGCTGGTGTTGCTTGTTTACCTTGACCACTTACCCAACACCTCGACAATAGAGCCCAGATACTATGTGCAGAGATTAACATTAGCATTAGCATTATTTGCTGAGGAAAAGACAAACAAGAGGATCTGCTGAGAGGTTTGTTGCTCGTTGGAGATGAGGAGATTCATGCTGGCTGATTGGTCACTGAACCCATGAGAACAAGCCAACTGACTGCCAGAGAGAAGATATAAACTCTCTTCAAAGTCAGTTGGGTGGTGCTGTTTTAAGACCAATTCACACTGCACTGACAAACGCCAGCAATCACATTTGTTTGGTTTTGTTGGATTAGTGTGTTACCCCTGTCAGCCTCTGTTACCGTAGTTGGTCAGAGTGTGTTTTCAACCGACTGAATATGTTCAGTCAGCGTTTTTCGGTGTCTGTTAGGGCAGTGTAAACATGACAGTTATTTTTTAGAAAATTATAAATCCAGCTGCCAACTTGTTTGGTGTTTGTTGCCGTTTGTCTAGTTCAACGACAGCATGGTGCTTGCAACACAAGACCATAAGTTGGATTCTCAGTAAACATACTGCCAAATATGTGTGCCTTGAACACACTATAAACTGCTTTGGGTAAATGTATAGTGATGCACCAATTCACCAGAAAACCAGATGCTGAGACCACCAGATTTGGGATAACCAGACTTGCCTTCAACGCCGTTCGTATAAAATAAAAGTCCACACAAACTAAGAACATGTAACGATATATAAAGAATATATGAATTAAATGATTATATGTATTTTAATTCATGCTGCCTTTAGTTGGTTTGATTCGAAAATAATGGTAGCACTTCATTTTAAGGACCAATTCTCACTATTAACTAGCATGCATTTTATTAGCATATTGCTTTTTTATTAGTACTTACTGTATAAAGCACTTATTAATGCCTTATTCTGTATAACCATATTTTAGATCCCTTAATCCTGCCCTATACCTAACAACTACCTTACTAACTATTAATAAGCAGCAAATTAGGAATTTACTGAGACAAAAGTCATAGTTAATAGTTAGTTATTAGTGAAAACTGGGCCTTAAAATAAAGTGTAACCAAAATAACAAATACTGTAGGCTCCAACAAATCTTTACAATGCTAATCATTGTAATGTTGGCTTTTAACGAACTATTTTAAACAGACACCCGTACGGTATATTATGATATAACAAAAATATGATATATATGAAGTGTTTGTGTGTGCACAATTAGGAAAAGCAAGAGTAAACTGAATTTGCAATCACTTATTCCAATACCTTTCAGGTAATTTTTTTTTATCAGACCTGTTATATCTGCGGTTTCTGTTTATATTTTTGGCCAAGATTTTCAGAGTATTTTAGCTTTTTATTCAGTGAAACTAACAATGAAAATCTGTTTGTAGGCCTTCAGCTTTACACCCTTAGTGTCCAAGCACACATGCCAAACATCTTTTCTGGTGGAGGTGTGTGTGTATTTGAAAGGCAAAGGGGGTCAAACTGCGGTCCAGGTAATTTGCTGCCTGTGAAACTGAAGTCCAGCACCCAGACCTGCATGAGGGGCTTTTGAAAGCTGTAGTAGGACATCTATTAACACCTGTCTCCTGCTTTCTTCTGTCGCTCGCCCTCTCCCTCTGTGTTCTCTCTTCCTTGCTAATAACTCCACTTAAGACACCGCAGTCACTCAGAGTCCGGTCTTGACCGGTCTCAGCAGGGTGTTGGGGTGGCCATCCTGTGTTTTAATCCGTAACATTGTTATCTGGGGAAAGCGCGAGCCGCACCGATGTGATCTGTGGCCGGTCGCACGCGCGCCAGGGTTAAGAAACCTGCTCGTTTGTAATTGGATTTATGTGCAGGAATGTTTTTCCAAGGCGCGACTTGTGAAATAACACGCCATCTGCTCCCTATTAGAGTGTGGGACCAATGCTCGCTACACAACAAGCAAGGAAAGCCCCAGACGTGTAGATTCATAGTGCTGGAGGGCCGCTTTATTACCGCACAAGGGAGAACTGTGGTTCCAGCACACGGGTGCCATGACTCGCTGTTCAATCGCTGCGTTTTCTCTGCTAGGTCTGTTCTCTCAGAATGCATTTGTTCTTAAACTCTCAGTGAGAAACTCTTACCTTTCCATTATCAAATTCCTTCTAAAGTTTATTTCCGTCATACATCTATCACTGTTTTATTGCTAGCTTTGTTTTTAGCAGTTCTCACTAAAAGGCAAGCATCACTATTAATACGTTTACACTTTTTACAAAACCCCTGACCGTAAGTATTAATCTTCGGCATGTAAGATGTACCACGCCGTGCATTACATGCTACGTAAACAAACTTACAACTTTCTAAAGTAACATGCTAACAACCAGCCAGAACACATTAGTAAGCCTATAGCAACGCGTATAGCACCTTATCAGTGGCTTAGCAGCATTTTTGCATGGAAAGCCAGCGGTTTTTCAAGTTCTTTATAAAAATGTAGTTTTTAATATTAAATCTTAAATCTTCCTCCTCACTTTACATTCTTTTTTCATATCTCATCTTTTCCGCTGAAATTCTGACTTTAACATGAGGAGCAATGAGAAACAGTGAGAATGAGCATAAGAGGGCAAGAGAGAGTTGGGGCAAGGAGGCTTTTACTTTGACAAGCTAAGGTCAAAGGTCTCAGAAAGGAGATCATACTAGCGATTAGGCCCCTCAATGAGGGTTAAAACTTTAGTCCCACTTGGGAATGGTACTTGTGCATGTGTGAAAGTGCATACAGCAGGATGACAGACCCCAGCCTTGGAGAATAAGTGTTCCCCTCCAGCCACTAGTGTGAGGACCCACCCTTTCTTCTCGCTAGTTTCAGAGCGAGTCCGTATTGCAAGACTTATGTCGTAATGGTGCGTGTTGTGCGTATGTAAAATAAGAGGTTGTGAGAGACAAAGCCCACAACACCAAATATAAGTAAGCAAGTGTTTGACTATGAAATTTAATGATTGAGGATATGTACACATAGGTTATCATTTACCAATTTTGAAAAACATGTTTTTTATCATGTTGACAGAACAATAGCCTTGAGAAAAACAAGTATATTTGAGCATACTTTTAAAAAGAGTACTTATAACAGAAATAATATGGTTTAAAATATATATTGAAGTACAAACTGAATGTGATGTTTTTCAGACACTTAAATGCATGTTATTTGCAGTTCAATTAAAATGTAATATAATTTAGAAATCTCTATTAAATGCAAATGACCTTAAGAGTGCTTTATTTATTTGTTTATTTATTTTTGACTGACTTAAGTATTAAGTCGACTTAAGTGCTTAAGTGCATCTTTATATGTAATTTCATAATTACTTCTACTGTCTATAAAAATGGTAAAAGTGATGTGCTGACAAGCATTTGCACAATGTAACAAATATTTGTTTCACTTAATTTTTTGTATGATTCTTCTGTAATTCTGTAGTGCTAATTATTATTGTACTATTTATTTTCATGTAGCATCAATATTTTGGTAAATATATAGGTCAGGTAAATTTTAGAACTTCTTATAAAACATTGGTTTAGTACAGATAAGTTATTGTATGTTTTTTATTTATTTATTTTTTTTATATTTTGCTTTTGCATGGATGGGAACATTTGTATAATATTCTAGAGCATTCTGGAACATTCTAGAACATTGTGGGACTATAGTCAAAAAAGACAAAAATCATCTTATGTGCACTTATGAAGTTTTGGATGACTCACTTTTGGCAACTGTTTATGTTTTTGTTGGCTTGGTATTATGCATGTACCATGTTATTTTTATGCATGAGTTGGAACAGATTAGCTTTTATAAGTTGTCAAAATTTCAGGGTAATGTTTCACGAGGCCTACTGGGAAAAATGGCTGAGAGATATGTGAGTGAGCTTTTTTACAATTGTTTTACAAAAAATAAAAGTGCCAGCACAGCGTCACATTAAAAACACCAACAAAACATACTATAGCACAATGAAATGCTTGAGATATGATGCTTGTAAAAAAATGTATTTCATCAGAACACATGGCTACTTAATGGCTATTAACAGAAAAGGATGCTTTTTGCAGACTTCTACCAGTAGGGGCAAACTGGCCCATTCTAGCCAGCCAAACCTTGACCCCTTGGTGGTAATTCACTGGTACCAGACACAAAGCTCAAATCCATATTTTACCTAAGTCTTGTTCTAATCTGTCTCCAGTGTTTTAAGAGGCCTGTGTTGTCCTAATGTGACTCTGAGACCTCTGTGCTCATGGTTTGCTTTTCCTCCCTTGATATCTGAGCTTTTTCTTTGTCCAGCTGCAATATAACGTCTGAAGCCGAAGCACACGCTCTCCTCTGAGGCGACAGCACTCACACTGATGAGGAGCGTTTGAGCAAAGGCAGTGATGGAGATAGAGACTGTTTGGGAGTGTGACAAACAGATACAATCAGAAAGAATAAGAATGGCAATTAATGAATGAGACAGCAAGAAACAGAGATTGGAGGAGTGGCTGAGGTTCAGACGGGAGTTCTGATGGTACTTTAATGAAGTGTTCTCTAAAAGGAACAAGCGTTTTTGGAGCAAGATCACACACATAAACTCATTGACTCAATGGCTGTGCTGGGACAGAGCCAGAAGGTTATAGCCACAGTCAGCAAGATAAAGGAGCAGAAGAGAGAACGGAAAACTAGAAGGGTCATTTTATGAGGAATATGTGAGTGGTGCCTGCCCAGGATATTGCTATGAGCTTGCTAGGTGGCAATCCCTACCCCTAAATTAGGATGCAGTCACATTTAAGTCACAGTCATTTCAATAGGAATCTACAAGATTGGGAATTTCGTATAAGGGCGAAAGATTTCCCCATGCAAATTTTGAATTGGGTTCAAGTTGTTGGTCATGCTAATTTGGTGCATTGACCAACAGAAAACTTCTTGGTGTTAAAGTGACTTCTGTGTGAACGTTGCTTCATTACTCTATTAATAATAGACCTTGGACCTGCATATTTTGCAGTACCTGCTCCTTAAAACACATTAAACCAACTTGATGTCATATTTAATATTATTGTATTCCTTTATTGCAGATTTGCATAACATTTTGAATAATTTTAGGGAGAAATTGTAGCAAATATTCAGTGACAAGTAATATCCTAGTGACAAGCAATTTGTATGTCTACACTAAAAACGAATGTCTTAACAAAACACAGCCAGTTTTTGTCCCTATACTTTGTCCAGTATGGACAGAAAATATTTTTTGGAAGTCAGTGGGATCTGAAACTGTTAACAACATTCTTCAAAATATATTTTTTTGTGTTCCACAGAAGAAAGAAATGCATACAGGTTTGGCATTATGTGAGGGTGAGTACAACGAGTATCATGACAATTGCGAGTTCATATCACGCAATTCTGAGAAAAAAAGTCACAATTGCGAGATGTAAACTTTTAATTGTGAGAAAGAAGTCAGAATTTTGAAATAAAAAGTCGCAATTACCTTTTTTTTTTTTTTTTTTCATTGGCAGAAACAGGCTTCCATATTAAACCCTTCCAATTTCTTACAATCGACTACATTTGCATTCAGATCTGCCTCCATCCAATCAACAACCAATGCATAGTACCATACCACTACTTTTTTTTGGTAATTCTTCTTATATGCCACAATATGGAAGAAATTATCTGTCGCTACTTTCGTTACATTGCAACTTATTAGCATATGTTATGTGAAGCAGGATTTTGGACCAATGAGATTTCTCTGCGGGTGGGGCTACTCAACACAAAGCTGCATAAATAGACAAAATGTACCGATGCTTGTCACTGTATCATGTGGGAAAATGCTCATCCTGAGCAGACTCATGCCACTGAACAGTTGTCACTCTGGAGTGTGATTCATGACATGGACAGATGTTCTGACAAATGGGGCTGTATCATTATCAGTTGCTCAATAAAGACCCTTTCATCTCATTGTAAAACTAGTACTTTTCACAACAAATCCTGCAGTGGAAAAGGGCGGAATTCATTCCAATTGTGCAGCTTTGTAATGGGCTTCACCAGGCCGAGCCACTCATGGGGATTGGGTGGTGGTCGAAGCCCAGCCTGATGTATTTAAGTCAAGGCATTTAATCTGGCCACAAACTCCCCAACAGCCCCGCAAGGCACTGCTCTCTCCTTCTCACTGACACGCTGACACCTGGGCTCCACCTCTGCCGGCTGGCCAGCATGCCGCTTGGGCCCACCTGCTCGCCACACATACTGCAAAGCAAACATTTCAACAGTTAGGCCGACTTTAAAAGCTCCACGCGACTTAATGAGAAAGAATCCGAGGTCTGCATTTCACCTCTTTCTATGTCTCTCTCTCGCTCTCTAGAGGGCATTTAGAACTGCCCATTAACGGCCAAAGTGTGGATTTCCTGTGAAATAACGACTGTGCCCTCCACATGGTTCGCGTCTAAATACTCAAGAACACTTAGTTAAACATGAAGCCCGATGATCGGCAATCGGAATGGGATTGCTTCCAGCTGTGCCACTCCGACCAGCATCCAGAGTGGGAGATTTTTTCTTTATTGATGCTGTAGCTTATATTGCATATGTTGGCTTTGCTGTGGAATAACAGGGTGGGTGTGAAGTGGTCAGCCATTCACTTACTCCCAATCCCCTCACCATGATTTCACTTTCAGACTGCAATCAGACTACTCTGTGCCTGGAGATGACCTGACAGACGACTGCTTTAGTCTCTTGGATCACTTAGCTTCATGAGGAAGGACTGTGCTGTAACTCCTCAGAAGTCCACTTTGTTCCTGGAATTTTCTGGTTGATGAATAAGAATAGTGAACAAGAACAGACAGTAGTAATGTTAAAAGCCAAAGGGTAGCTGTCTCAGATGCACTTTTTAGGGACTGTTTCGTTTAACCATCGGTGCAAGCATTGATAGTGGTGATGAATTACTTTTTCCCCTTAAAAGTGTTGCAATATAGCACTGTTGAGTTTCAAGTCTGCAATAATTACAAGTAAATATTCCTTAACTTCCCCTATATTATGTAAAATGCTTATCATAGAAAGGTCAGTTGCTTATAAAAGCCTTCCCAGAAAACTAGAAGATTCAAATTTCAGTATGTTCATTTCAGAGCCTCCCATTTTATGTACTATAAAGATTTTACTCTAAAATGTACTAAATGAGCTCTGATGTGTGAATAAACAGTTGACAACTAAAGCCAGTTCTGCAAAATTGAGAAAAATGTATCATGCTTTGTATTATATTGCTATTTTCTATCAAGAAGTACTGTATGTTTAAATACATTATTACATTTTACAGGTAATTTCTAAATTTGAGCCAAAACAGTCAAAATAGTCTGTCAACTTCAGATAGATTCAGATAGGAATATGTAATGCATGAGAAAAACCTAAAGACACTGTACCTAGTCTTGCTCATCAAGTACAAGTTGTATTTACGTTGTAGCCTACATCGTAGTGTATTAATGTCCCTCCTTATTATTTATAGCTTAACTGTTTAGTATTAATTTAATATTACATATTTTTCCAATTGCGTCTATATCTCACACAAATGACGAACAAAGCAGATTTTACTTACAAGAAGTTTCACAAAACATTCACACCTTAAAAGCTCATTCATTCATTATTATTCATAGTCATCATTCACTTAATACACACAGTTCATGGCCAGACTGCATGTCTCTAATGTGGTTATCAGTCAAAGCTCTAGGAAATGACGCGTTCATCAGTCTATGTTTTGCTAAATCCCACATCCACATCCAAATTTAGGATCAAACTCGCCAATAAACGCTAATGTTGCGAGTGAGTGTGTAGAGAGAGAACGTGAGTGAGAGAGAGAGAGCGAGAGAGAGAGATCGCTGCTGCGATCCGTTTCTGTTCATCACTCACACCAGCAGCAGCACCAGCTCGGACCTTATAAACTCTCCATCCCAAATCCTGGAATATCAAACCGAGAATCATGAAATCGGGCATAATGTGGATTTATCAAGCTCTTCTGTGCGTCTTTCTGTCTGTGGATGTGGGTGAGTGACCAGCGCGTAACGCACACTTGAAACCAAAGTGTGTTATTGATTAGTAACTGATCGTGTTTTAAACAGGTAAATGTCACTGTTAGATTGCTTTGAGAAATATTACATTAATTAAACAGAAGTTCATCAGGTTATGTATTCACAACTACTTCATGTTGTTTTTGAAAAATAGGTTAAGTGATGTAAGTGGTTACATCTGGTTAAGTGATGTCACATTTTGAGGGTAACTGTGACTCTGGGGATATTGGATATTATTTTGTGTATGTCATGTATTTAAGACTGGTTGTACTATCTCTCTTTCCCGTGCAAAAGCTTAACATGGTGATTAGGGCTGCACAGTTAATCGAATTTCTAATCGCGATTACAATTATGGATGCCACAATTACGTAATCGTTCAAAGCGGAAATTAATCGATTAAATTCCACTTATGTTATTCTGCACGCTTTCATCAGGTTATGTATTCACAACTACTTCATGTTGTTTTTGAA